AGTGCGGTGTGTGTGGGGGTGTGGGTGTGTGTGTGTGTGTGTGTGTGAGAGAGAGAGAGAGAGAGAGAGAGAGAGAGAGAGAGAGAGAGAGAGGCCGTTAGTATATCCTACCGTATCTCCCGGCTGTGGCCTCATCACGGACACTCGGTCATAGCCTTTCCTTAGCAGAACCCACAAGGCATCGAGTTTTCCCTGAAACAAAACAAATGCAAGAAGATTATATAAAACCAGCCTGGTAGACAGCCACTGTAGATATGAAGAAGTCTCCAGGTCCTCCCGCCATGTCAGAAGCGGGCTCAGGAGACACGGTCAGTGTGGGTTAGGGACTCTCCACTCTCAGTGCAAGGGATACACACTAAGAGCTGAGAACAGGGCTGGGAAGATGACTTGGAGGATACAGTGCTTGCCATGCAAGCCTGAAGACCCAAGTACAGATGTCTCCCACAGGTAAGCCTTCCCAGTGCACGGGAGGGCAGGCTGGCTAGCTTGACTAACTGATTGGTGAGTTCTGGGTTCAGCAAGGGACTCTGTCTTGATAAATAAGGTGGACAGTGGCAGAGGAAGACACTCAATGTCAACTTCTGCCTACACGCGCACATGCACACACGACACACACAGAGACTTACATACACACAGACACACACAGACACACAGACGACATACACTGAGGTGGGGAAAAGGTCAGCTCAGTTCTAAATCTTCCACAGTGAGGCCCATGCAGTCTCTTGGATTTTGCTCTCACTATACTCCTGGGGCTATATCTTCACATCACAGAGGCATCCTCTCAATTTTCACTAACCACTTGGTGGCCAGATAAAAGAAGATGATGATGACAACTATAGGACAATTTCTTGCCCTCCTCACAAGGGAAAACAACAACAATAACAACAACAACAAAAGGCCCCTAGACGGAGGCCCATGGCCAGGCCATCAGTAGCTATAATGTTCAGTTTATGATAAAAGTCCACCTCAAAAGGGACTCCTTTACTTTATAGGACAAAAGGGGCTCTTCTGGCACAACTGAATGATAGAGATAAGAAACCAGCCTGGAACACCCAGCATAGGCCCCCGGAGGCCACACAGGTCCCTCACTGTGGAAGACAAGGCCAGGGTCAGAGATGTGTCTCAGGGGGACTCATTTAGAGGACCCAAACCAAGGACACTGGCCTTAGGGAGGGAAAGAGCTCCAGCCAATTAATTGCAGGCAGCCTCCAGGATCTGGTCAAGGAAACAGATTCTCTTCTGGTAACTCCAAAAGAAGAACAGCCTGGCCCCAACCTAGGCTTTTAGCCCAGTGAGGCACATGGGCTTCTCACCTTCAGAATTGTGAGATAAATCTGTGCAGTTTAACCTCTTGGAGTCTATAATTTATGATAACTGAGATAGGAAACCAGGCCTGCCCTTGCCACCCACTGCTATATTCTGTGGTCACCAGCTTACTGTGTATCTCTGCCCACTGGAACATCAACTTTAGCAAAGCAATGGTGTGTTTGGCTCTGTCTACTGCTATGTGCCTGTCCCTCAATGCATGTTGGTGGGTGAGGAATGACCCAAGGTGCTAGGTGCTTTCACGTCGTATCCTCTCCCGTGATTCTTTCAGCAGAACAGTGTGGAGAAAGTGGAGACTCAGGTGTGATCAAATGACTTTCCCACAGACACTCTGTCACCAGGAGTTGCAATTGTCTCACTCCAAAGCTGATACAGCACCACCCCAGCTGCGGTCCTGCTCACGGAGGTCTGTCTGAAGAGCTTTACCCCACGGCACTGGCAGCGGGGCTGCAACCCTTCAGGTTCTCACGGGATCGATTCTGTGTGATAGGGCTGGAGATTTTGAGAACTATAATAGAACATGATAGGGCGAAGAGCACATGATGAGGATGGTGTCATCTTGTGAAAGCTGTGTTTTGGTTGTGTGTGTACATACAGGGGTGTTGGGCATATCTGATTACATGAGTGTGTGTGGTGTCCTGGAGCATGGTGATAGTAGGAAGGCAGGGGATATCTGTAGGGTGTAGCCTCAATAAGCACTTAACACTGACAACACTGATCATCCCAGAGAATGAAGCTACTTTCTGGTGGGTTAGACACACACCTGAAAAACTAAACTCTTGAACACTGGCCAGCTGTTGCTTAAGCTCCTGTGGGTTCAGTGTTGAGTTTCTCATCTCCTGTTGCAAAGAATCTACAAAAGTCTTTGAAAATATTCTAAAATGGGTTCAGTGTCCTGTTGGACAGAACTGGTGTTGCGTTCACAACAGTTTTCTGCATGAGGCAATGCTAAGTGTCAGCTAAATGTTTTCTTGAAGGTTCTTAGGGACAAGTCCTTGAAGCTCAGGATATTATTAGGTAGGTGGATGGTTTGTTTTCTAGGAGAGAGCGACTCCTAGTATTCAGCTCGTAAGTCAGCCCACCTGTATCCCCTTATTTGCTAGTCACTCCAGCCCTGATAAATGAGGAACAATGGCATGAAAGTTTGGCTGTTGAAGAAAGGAATTAATTAGCTCATCAGAAATGGAAAGCTGCATGCACAACAAAGAGCAGCTTAGCTATGCAGTCCCAGGAGAAAGTGAACTATGTTCCTTGGGGGAACTGGTGACCACACAGAGTGCTCAAGTACCCAGGAAACTGTAGCTGGGCCTTCTCTTCTCCAGCTGGCAACACAGAGCTGTCCCAACTCCCCAGGGCTTGCTCTTCTTAAAGTGTGTGTGTGTGTGTGTGTGTGTGTGTGTGTGTGTGTGTGGTGGGGTTAACAATACTGTCTCCTCTATAGACTAAATTATAAATTAAACATTGAAGTTATCTCCTCATCTCAGGAAAAGTATTCATAACATGCTATCTGTAATCATTAGTCATGAAATGGAAGAGGGTAAGGCAGAATGAGTCCAATTCGTGGACATCCGTAAGCGAATACCCGTCTTCCATTTGTGTTCTGCGACCACCTCCTCCTCAAGGTAAAGTCACAATGCTCTTCATTGCACCCCAGCTGTGCTCTGGCTCCAGGCACTCCCTCACAATGGCTCTTTTTTAGGCTACCCAGGACATCTTGATGGTCAAACCCATTCATATCCTGGAGATCCCCTGGGCTGTCCTCTGATGGGTCTTCCTTTCCCTTGGCCTTGGCTTTCTAAGGGTTGGCCGTTTCCTCCTCCCTCTTTTTGTCCCTTCAGCTCCTTTGCTCCCCCCCACCCCCCGCCTGTTTTTGACTTGGACATGGTGGTCCCATTGGCTCCGTCTGTGCTGTACCTGGCCTGACTCTCCCTTCTAATCTTATGCTCCATGCATTCTGTCTTCATCATGGGCCTCTCGAGAGGTCCAGATCTAGGCACAGCATGGCCTATTTAGGTCCAGATCAAGGCAATGGAATGACCTGTCAAATTTTAATTATGATGGAGATGTATAGATATATAACAGGAGCCAAAAGCAAGCATGGTAAATCACATGTACCCCTCTTCATACCCTGTCTTAGATCATGGAGGTATAAGCTATACAGCATGGGGTTGCCCTCTCTCCACACTGCTTCAGGTCCAACATCAGCCATGTTTTAGGAGTGCTCTAATGCCCCAGCTCCCCTGTTGCCTCTTCCCATCCCACTATTTCCACAGCCTCTGATGTTGCCAGGGCTCTTGTCCCATGCCACTTAGTCAGTGAAACACTCCCTGCCTGGTCTTCTACCTCAGGTTCCTGTCTTCTTTCTCTGTGTGTGCTGATGTAAGATTTCCCTACTAATCCAAATGGATGCATAATTGTTAATAAAATAAATCTCAGACCATCTTACCAGCAGGGTTCACTCAAGCAAATCACCTAATCTCTTGGTACTTGGTTTTTCTGTTTATAAGTGGTGTGTGTGTGTGTGTGTGTGTGTGTGTGTGTGTGTGTGTGTGTGTGTGTGTGTGTGTGCATGTATACGTGTATGTGGTGTGTTCATCAGGCACAGCTTGTATACAACGTGTGCTTTAGACTCTGGTCTTCATTCCCCAGGCTAAATGCCAGCTGCTTCTGTGAAACTATGACAAAGACTCTACCACAAAACCCAGAGCTCCAGCCAGGGGTGTGTTAGCTGACATTTAAAAATAGCTTCTTCCATATGAAGTTGACACAGCTTGACTATAAAATGGGAAATTTACCAGTGCCAGGCTCCCACAACCACACCTCACTCTGCCTCAGATCATAACTTAAATGCATGGAGAGAGGTAAAAGCCTATGCAGCTTGGCCTGTATAATGGTGAGACCTAGTGGATCACCATTCTGAGCACACCCGGTGCTTTGCCGTGTTTCTTCTTTCATTTGTTGTTCTTTGGGGCTGTCTGTCTTAGCTAGTGGATTTGGCTCTGAGATGGAAAGTCAAGATAGCTCAATTTATAGCACTGCTCTGAATTCCTATGCTTTGAAATACATGATAGTTTAACCCACAACCCTGTCACTCACAGTCTGCCACTTGCAGGGAGCAGCCTGTCTGTCTTTCAAGGCAGGCTATGACTTGGCCCTTTAGCTGCCATTTTTCTCACTTCCTGACATGTGGAGAAGCTACTGGAAAAAGAGATGGGTAGTTTCTCTGAAGTCTGCAGTCAGTCCTAGTTTTAATCCAGCTGGTGGCTGTGTATCTGGGCATGACTTAACTTGTCTGAAATGACCAATTCTGTTTAATGAGAAGCACGGGGTGCTGTAAATTGAGGAAGTAAAAACCAAGCAAAGGAAAATGTAGCTAAATACCAGGGGAAATTCCCCCAGCACGGGCCTGGAATGAGGATGGGGGAATTGTGGTCAGCGTGGTCAGTGTCTTAATATAGCATGGGATACAAGGGGGGACAAGAGGAGAAGCCCATTGTAACCCTTTCCCCTCAGCTCCTGCAGGGCTGCTTAGCAAGCATGCCCACCTGCTTCTCAGCTCTCAAGAATGAAGCAAGAAGGTGGGTCTGTTGCAATCCATTTTACTGGGTTGATGATTCTAGCCATTTTTGCTGGAGAGCTAGATGTGGCTCCAGGATCTGCTGAGTTTTGTACTGGGTGCAGGGTTCTCCCTGTTCACAGTAGACAGTGTGGACTGGCCATTCCTTAGGAGCTGCCTGTCCTCAGCTACTGTCTGCATTTCTTTGCATGCTGCCTTTGCACCAGCTAGCGTCCCTGGGAGAACTAAAAGGACACGAGAGAGTGAGATGAGGGTGAGTGTGTGTGTGGGGGGGTGTTTCTTCTGTCCCCTTCCTTCTTCCCTGTCTCCCTGTGGTAACTGTATTTCTATAGGGCAGGGGCCTATACACACCTTCTAGAAGGTGTCAAAGGACTGGAGGCTTCAGGAAGAGGAAAACTGAGGAGGGTATGAAAGAACTTATTAAACCAGTTAATACTGTCAAAGCCACAGTCTCTGGAAGCTCACATGTGTGTCAGAGACAACAGAGTGACATACAAAGTCACAGCACTTTGACAGCACACACACAGGACCTGCACAAGTTCAAACCAGACAAAATTCCAGCATGAAGGAGGGCAAGTGGGCACAAAATCCCATCCCTAACCAACAAGCTATTTGCAGTTGATAGCTGCTAAAAAAAAAGGGAAAATCAGAAAATTTCTCCAATGGAATGTCATTGGGTCTATTGACCACACTCCAGGGCAGGTCCTATGTCCAGTAATTGACCAACTCAAAACACACTACACGCTTTTGGTGTGCCTTTTGTTTTGTTTCTTGTCTTATTGTTTTTTTAAGAGAGAGAGAGAGGGAGAGAGAGAGAGAGAAAGAGAGAGAGAGAGAGAGAGAATGAAGTTGGGCAGAGGGAAGGGAAAGAATATGGTCAAAATATGTCTTATAACACTTTTAAAAATAAAACAAATGTCAAAGTCATCTTTTGCTTGTGGGCCATGAGAAAACAAGTGGATGGGTAGATTAAGGTTGCTGAACTCTGCCCCTTAGCCATAGCTCCTGATGGCTGTACCCCTCTCACTGAGCCCCTACAGGCCTAGGGGTGTTATAATTCCTCTTGTAGCTAGTCCCTGGTGGCCTCCCTGTGGGGCCTCTGAGCCTAGTTCACCTTCTGTTAGCCCTGCCATTTGCAGTGTGCCTTCTGTGTCAGTGCAGAGGGTGCCAAATGGGACTTAATGAGGTCCTGTTGATGCCCACCAGCATCTTAACTAGGAAAGGCTCAGCACGAAACGTTCGCGTTACACATGGACCACTGGTAGAAAAGCTACTTTTCCTCTGGACTTCTCAGGTCCTTTCTGCACTCTGCCCCGCATCACAGATCTGTCACTAAATGTCCTCTTCCTGGACAGAGCATGCCAATGGAACTGCATGGTCTAACGTTATAGGGCTTGGGAGTGGTTTCTTCACCATACCTCATGCTTAAGCTCTTCAGCAGGAGCTGGTGGAGTCCCTGCTCTGTGTCAGGTTACATGCTGTTTACTGGGGCGTCAAAGCATAATTGGTGCCCGCAGGTGGTGAGGTGCAGTGAGAAAGCTCATAAACCTGAGATAATCTCCTTTAATTTCCACCCACCCATCTCCTATCTAGCAGAGGGCATGTGTGAGTGCTGGCATTAGCTGTTTCACTCAACCAGAGTCGTGTCCAGACAAGAAGCATAGTCTCACAGGGCTTTCTCCATCTGTCCGGTAAGGTGTCTCCAAGACTTGGATTCCAAGTCACTTCACATCAATGCGGTGGGTATTAAATGGCCCTGATGTGAAATGCAGCCAGGGTTTCCTTGCTGAGGCTCCTGACATATCACAGAGAAATGGTCAAGCTCTTTGCTCATTGCAATAACCCAGGTGCCCATTTCCTATCCTCTGAGGTCCAGTCCTGCCTCAGGCAATGCTGTCAGTGACCTCTGGTGACAGCCTGTCTACTGGGCTGATTAAAACCCAGATTCTGGGCCTGACACTGGAGTTTCTGATGCAGAGAGTCTTAGGTGGGATCCTTCAATGTGTGTTTCTAATAAGTTCATGGGGGAAGTCCATGTCAATGGTTTGGGGACCATACTGTGACTAAGGAAACTCAGGAGGTAGGATCCCAGCGTGGTGACACATGCCTGTGATCCTCTGCCACGAGTTCCAGGGCATCCTGTGTAACTTAGCGAGACTCTTTCTCAAAGAGGAAGGGGCACAGGAGCACCAGCCATAAGTCCTTGGAACAAGAGAAAGGTATTGGACGGGAAGTTGGGGGTGTGGAATCTTAAGGCTTGCCAGGTGGGGTAGTTTTGAGCTGGCAGCTGAAATAGGCAAGGCTTGGGCATCTTGGAGATCTTTTGTGAGATTGGGCCTCCAAGCCTGGGATCCTCATTCTGACCTCCTCTTCCCACCATTACCTGGCTCATACAGGGCTGAGAAGACCCACCACTCAGTATCTGTGCCCGGCACAGCAGGGACTTGACAAGACCCACTGAGCAGATGCAGATTCCAGGAGGGTGCTGGCAACGTTTTCGGATTTCTAAATGTATTTGTCCACATCCTGATTCATTTAGCAAAAACTCAGTCTGAAGCCACCAGTTAAGAAAGGATCAACATGCCCTTCCAACCTCGAAGATTCCAGAAATGAAAATTCAGCTACAACCAAGGATGCGGTGTTAGTCACAAGGTGGATTCCTGAAAACAGCAGGACAGAAAATCCCACTTCTTTTCGTCTCCAGGGATCCTCTCGGCTCCTTCCTGTCTGCACGACACTGCACGTTCCTCACTGGCAAAGAATTAGCAGCAACAGCCGTTCCTCCAGCCAGCTGTGCTTCACCCACAGCTCACCCTTTGCCTCGGGGAGGCTTATCCTAAAAAAGAATCTCATGGCTTTAAACAAGCCCACATGGAAACTGCACCGGAGTTCGTGTGAGCCTGAGCTCATGCCGCTGAGAAACAGCAGCTTCCAGCTTAGTCTCTTTCTATCTAGAAACATGCGCATGTGCGTCCAGTCTCATTCCACCTAGAAGCATGCGCATGTGCGTCCAGGCTCATTCCACCTAGAAGCATGCGCATGTGCGTCCAGTCTCATTCTACCTAGAAGCATGCGCATGTGCATATGCATGTGGAGGCCAGAGGTTGACTCATGTGTCCTTCCTAGTTGTTCTCTGCTTTACTTTTTGAGACGTGGTCTCTCTCTGAACCCAGAGTGCACTGATTTGGCTAGACTCCCTATCCAGGGATCCTCGTTCATGCAGCAATCATTTTCCAGACTCAACCATCTCCCCAACCCTGAGATTTGTAGAAGGGCTGGTCTAAAGCTAAGAAATACTCAGAAAGGGAGAAAAAAAAAGTTCCGGAAGGAGGACAAGGCTGTAGGCATGTGTGTGGTCAGGAAAGGAGACTACCTGGTTCTCACACTTTTTACCCGAGGCTCATGAGTGGGTCCCGCTGGAACCTTGGAGAAAAGACACTGCAGGAGTTGGGATGGATTTTGTCCAGAGTCCTTGGCTATAAGTTTCTAGGGTTCTGATGGCTGTCACAGTGCAGGTGCAAAGGGGCAAGGACACAGAGAAGGGTGCTGACCCCTCACAGGAATTCAAAGCCATGTGCACCTATGGTGACAAAAGGCTTAGTTGCATGTGTCCCCTCCCAGGGTTTTAACTTCTCGAGAAGCCTGAGTCGATTATGGCCTGGAGTTGATGGTGGGGTGAGAGGAGAGAGATTATGGAGAAGAAAGAAGACTGGCTCACAGCTGGGAAGAGGGAATGCTGAAAGGATTCTGGGCAGAGACACACCTTGATGGGCGAGTACCACTTCCGGGGGGAAGAGGGCCGGCGCATGTTGTTGTTGAGATTGCGGGGCTCCGGGAACTCATATTCTTGCTCTGGCATCTTGACTCTTGCATTCTTTGCCTTTTCCAACTTAGCACCTTCTTCTGTGGAGCCCTTCTCTCCCCAGCGAACCTAACGGAAGTGAAATAAGTTACGGTATTGCAGTTTGCCCTTGAGAACCAGAGTGACAGGGGTGATGTGTGTGCCACCGGCTCCTCTGTTCCTTTAGGATTGTGAGCCAGAGAAGTCGGGTGGGTGGAAAAAGGGAAAGTGGAGAGCAGGAAGGGTGGCAAAAGTGGGGAGCCATGGGCTGGAAGAATTAGAGAGAGAACTGTCTGGGTGGGGTATAGAAGTGGGGTTTTAGTCCAATGAAAACAGAAACCACGAGGGTGGGGGTTTGGCAGACAAGTGACCTCTGCTGACTCATGATGGGCAAGATGCAGGCCTGCAGTAAAGACCAAACCATTCCAACTCCTCAGCTTTGTATCTCAGAAGCCACCTCTCCCTAAACCTCAAGCATGGACCACCAGCATTTGCTCTGTGTTTCTGTCACCAGGTGGCTGGCCACACAGACAGCTGTGCAATGGTTGAGCACTAACCTCCATCCTTTTAATGCCTCCGACTCCTCGTCCTCCGTAGTAAGAGGCATCTACTGTTGGCCATTTCTTCTTTGGCAGGCCATCATCGTCTTCTTCCTGCCAAGAGATGGTGACACATAAAGACAAAGTCTCCTAAGGTTGTATGTGTGTACTATGGTGAGGTGGACAGGAGCAAGCTGGTACAGTCAAACCACAGTTTCAGGGCACAGTAAAGTCCGAATGCTCACTGACTCTGGAGCTCACACAGCCTCTCTCAGTACATTGTTCTGATCCACGGAATGGGTGTGGACAGCCCCAGAAGCCCCTTCACAGCAGCGTGCTATTTGAATGTGCCACTAAACTTCATGTGTCAGGAAGGTAATTCCTAAGGCAACAGTGTGAGCAGATAGGTGGTACTTGACCAGAAGTGAGTAGTCTGAGGGCCGCCTGTGTCCTCACAGAGTGAATTATGGGAGTCTGGCCTTGTCGTGTAAGGTAGCAGCAATGGCAGAGGCACGGCTCGGTTGCTCTCTTTGGCTACACTTTCTTGCCCTTCCACTTCTGCACTGGACGATGTGTAAGAAGGTCTCATTAGATGCAGGCCCCTTGCCCCTGGACTTCCCGGAACTGTAAGAAATTAGTTTCTTTCCCCCCATAAATCATCCAGTCTTGGCTATTGTGTTATAGAAATTCGGCATTGGAGGAGATGGTTTTATGAGTGTCGTCATTTGTTAATTACAGAAGTGCAAACACTGGGCACCATGTGCTCCAGCTGTTCTGTGATAAAGTAGCTGTCATATTCGGTGCAGTGGAGGTGAAGTTCTGATTTGGTGTCTTGGTACCCTGTCCGGTGGATGCCCCCCCACCCTTAATACAAGAGCTTCATTCACATCTGTGTTTGCTCTTTCTCCCCGGATTTGGAGACACTCTGAATGTTTATGTACAGAACACACAAAATCTCATCTCTATCCTTTTCTTGGCTTCCTGGAACACCCCAGGCACCCTTCTCTCCACTTGTCCACACTTGTGTGCAGGGACCCTGGGGAAGGAGCTCGGGTCATCCAGAGACAGGTGTACCCCCACTTCATGTAGATCCACAACAGGAAATACTCAGACATACGCTCAGCTCCACCAAGCCCCACTTTAGTCCCTGACCTGAGCGTTGCCTCCAAACTCAAACAACAGCCCAAGGTCTGAGCAAAGGGAGAGTCAGTGTTTCCCTGAAGTAAGCACAGCTCTGTTTATGTACCAGCGCCTGCAGAGTTGCGCAATCCCAGGGAACCGGGAGAATCTTTGATGTGCCTTTTCACTTGGCCAAAAGTTGATGAAGTAAACTCACAGGGCTCAGCACATACCCTTGGACAGGCAGCTGTATCTGAGGGTGATGAGGGTGCAGTTCAACATCTCATTAAAGATGAAAGGCTTCTGGGAGGTGTCTTCCCCCAGTCACCTTCAGGGACATATCCAGAAGGAGCAAACGTTGGCACAGATTTTTTTTTTTTTTTTGATAAATGAACTTTGGTGACCTTCATAGTTCTTGGAGGTAAGGATTGGCTCAGCCAAACTGTTTCACAATATCAAGTAGCAGGAAGGAGGGCCTTATAGGAAATCGGCAGGGGGTGGTCAGAAAAGAATGGCTGAGCCACTATAATCTGTGAAGGTACCCACAGCAGATGATCATGTAGGGTATCTCCATAAAGGAATATTGTGACCTTAATCCTGCCCTATCATTCTGCTTCCTCACCACCTCCTTTGCCACCGGCTCCCAGTGTGGTGTGCTGTAACCACAGTGAAGAGCCACGTAACCACAGACCAAAATCCCTGACACTAAGCAAACTTTTCTTTTGAGATTGCTTGTCTCAGGTGTTCTGTCCCAGGGATGGGAATTTGATTGACACACCTATCTTCACCTTATTGTACCTCAGTTTTTTACTTATAAAATGGGCTTATAACAGGGTAGCTTTATTCTCAGCCTGTTGAGTGACTAAATGAAACAGTAGAGAAAGGTTATCTTCTGTGTACAGCTCCCTGGATAGTCTTAAAATGCTAGAAAATATTCTCTCTATATAACTATTCTCTTACACATTTTAATGGGTTCAGATACACTATATCTTTTTCCCTGCTGGGAACTGAGATAGAGACCGAGGGACTGAGGTCGTATTTACTGGGAAAGAAGCTGAAATGAAAGCCCAGGCCATGCCATCAGCTGGGGTCAGAGTAGAAAGGGTCTGCACAGACTAGAGGTATGAGATCATGAAAGAGGCCAGTGAGGAGAGAGCAGAGGGGAGTAGAGTCAGAGTGCAAGGAGAGAGAGGCCAGAAAGGAGGTGGATGCCTGGGCCTGCTTGCCTTCTGTGTTTGCCAACCACACTCTCCCTGGCTCTACCCATCTCTGTTTAAACAGTCAATAGTGATATGAAGTCAAACGTCTCTCTGCCATATATGTATATGTGTATGTATGTATATATATATATATTATATGCATATATATTATATATATTAAGCTTAGTTACTGAAACCTTTATTGTTGGATAACCTTGTGCTTGAGAGAGCCATGCTGTCATGAAGTAAATGGCACAACCCTAATGCAGATGTAGTCTTGGCATCCGTGGAGGTGATTATAGCCAGATGAGCCTCCAGACGGAGGGCACTGCTAACACACCCTACCAGTAACTGCCAACTCTCTGGGACAAAGTTAGTGAAGATTAAGCTTCACTCTGGTGTCAGTGAGAGAAGACCTCACTCCTGGTGCCCCTCTTGGATGTTATCCCAAGCTTCCTTCCTTCTGTTGAGATCTGCAAAGCTCAGGTGACTTTCCTTTATGCTGGCTTAGTGACTTCACTTCCAGTGATAGGCAATCCCAGAAAGGGATGCCTTTTGCACTCTGCATTTTGTACCTATTAAAGAGGGGTTCCACAGGAAAGTGGATCACTATACAGAGTCCTTGAGCTGCTTTCATCCTAGTTTAGTTATTTATACAGTGATCTCCTCTGTGCTGGATGGTTTTATGTCAGCTTGACACCAGCTGGAGTCATCAGAGAGGAAGGAGGCTCAATTGGGAAATGTCTCCATAGGATTGGGCTGCAGGCAAGCCTGTAAGGCATTTTCTTAATTAGCCATTGATGGGGAAGGGCCAAGCCCATTGTGGGTGATGCCACCCTTGGGCTGGTGTCCTTGGTCCTATAAGAAAGCAGGCTGAGCAAGCCTTGGGGAGCAAGCACTCCTGTATGGCCTCTGCATCAGCTCCTGCTTTCAGATTCCTGCTCTCACTGCTTTTGATGATGACCTGTTCTACAGAGCTGCTTTTGGTCATGGTGTTTCATCACAGCAATTAGCAACCCTGACTAGGACAGCCTCCCTTAGGATGTTATGGTTATAGACCCGGTGAAGGTCAGTTAATATCTGGCTTGTCCATTAATACAGCAGGCAAGGGGTTTCCTTCACAGGGCATGTGCTCTCTCTCTCTCTCTCTCTCTCTCTCTCTCTCTCTCTCTCTCTTTCTCTCTCTCTCTCTCCTTTCCTCCCTCCCTCCTCCTCTTTCTTTCTCCTCTGCCACATGTACAATGATCTTTCTATGTAGCCCAGGCTGACCTCAAGCTTGAGGTACCCCTGCTTCAGCCTCCACAGTGCTGGGATCACTAGCACACACCATCACTCTAACCTTGTGCTGAGATTAACTAGGTAGTTCCTGATCTATGAGCATCTAATGTCTTAAGCTTTGATGCAGAGGGAGGATTTAGTGCAGTATACAGAGACCACCAAGAAGGAGAAAGGCAGGAGGACTTTCAGGGCACTCTCTGAAGACAAGCACACAAGCTGTGCTTGAAGCCTCAATGGGATCTTCACATGGGGCTGGATTGGAGAAGCATCTAGAGTCCAACTGTGATTCTCAGAGCACTGAATAAAATACCTAACATGGTCTAAGTTAAGTTTTTCCTTTCTGTGGGATTTCTCTCTTTTCTTCCTGCCAGAGCACATTAGGAAGGGGACTAGGGCCCCAGTGAGCCCCAGGGCCAATACACATGCTGAAGTAATCTTCCTGGCAGTAAGAAGTTGCCTTAAGCCTCCCACAAGCCTTCAGGTCCCAAGTGCCCATGGTCATCATTATGTTTCAGGAACTATGTTTGCCTTTTTCAGTCAAAATATAATCTCCATAAAAATATTAGTGAAGATGAAAAAACTCAGTTTTTCTACATGTGAAGCAGGCTTGTTTCTAATTTGAACTAATAAAAAAACCAAAACAAGACAAAACAAAACAAAAAAAACCTCAGTTTCTTCCTTTCCCTTGCTTTTATCTGTTCTTTCTTGTTTGTGCTCCAGCCTTGCATCCAACCCATGTCTGTGCACTCATGGTGTCTGTGGACCCTGTACTAGGTGCTAGATAATGTGGAATAGTATGTCAGAGCCCACAGTACCCCAGTACCAAAATCTCCAGCATTCACCTTCTAAAGGCCAACTCAGAGCGAGCACCAGAAACAGCAACACTGAGGGAGGGAACATTTTCTACCCCAGAGCAGACATAGTGGCCCATCAGGGAGCTTCACTTTCTGTTTTGGGATTCCAAGAGACAGATGCACACAGCATAGGCAAAGCAAGATGGAACTGCGGGACTAGCTTCGGCTCCTGCTCTTAGAGGGTTAAAAACAGACTCAACAGAGAGAGAGGATTCTCTTCTCTCCTCTCTACACAGCAATGCAATTTCCTCCCTTGGTTTCTGGGCAGAGAGTTAGCATTCTTGCAAGATGTGCTTTAATTGATTGCAGCTATTAAGTCTCTTGGCGTTCATGCACCATTCAGCACACGAGAGACACATGGAATTTTAAACCTAATCATCTTTCTTTCTGTGAGGCTGGGCTGGGACAGGGACAGCTGAGAGGTGGTATCTGAGGTGCATATGGACAGTCTACAGGGACCCAGTTAAGAACCTGAAACCTCACCTTAGCACCTCTTGGTCCCAGTAAGGTTTCAGATCTAGGGCTTCTACACTGGTAGTGTTACTCCTAAGGATCCTGCTGCCTCAGGTTGGGAAAGCCATTTGCTGGGAACTCCCGCCTACCAGCAGCTGTTAACACCTCTGCTGGTTTATTAGAGCCGCCCTTGCACCACAGCGGCTTCCTGGCCCACTGAGTGGAAGAGTCTGAGAGTTTGTCTGTAGACCGTGAGGATTTGAGAGAGAGAGGCCAGGATATTAGTATATCCTGCTCCAGCATAGATTCATGACCACCTGGCAGATTTTATGCAATACTGTTTCAAATTAAAGAAAAATGGGATACTTGGCACCAGCCTTAGAGGCAGTGATTATTTGCAGAATGTGGTAAATTTACCATAACCTATACATGTAAAGTGTATATCTGCAAGGAGACAAGAATTCTAATACATTTCACAGGAAAAATTAGACCCTTAAAATCCCAAATTGTTCATTGTACTGATTAAAAAAATTATACTGTATGGTGAGACATGTCTGCGATTCCAGCACTGGGGAGGTTGAGGCAGGCATAACACGAGTTCAAGCCCAACCTGTACCACATGAGAACCTGTCTCAAAAAAGGAGTGGGGAGGAGGATTCTGGCTGTCTGTGGCTTAGGTGGAGAGCTTATATTAATTAGCATTGTGACATCCTGGATCCAAGCACAGAAAAGAGCTAACAGTCAAACACATCCCCTCAACAGAAAACCTTCCAAAATCCTTGCAAACAAAAGAGCAGAAAGATGTATGCACTTTAAAATTTGTCTTTGTGGAAAGAAATCAGCAGGCCTCTGGCTGCCTGTGTTGCTCAGTTCATGTTCACCATGGTTAGGAAAGGCCCAAAGGCTCTGCTCCACATGCAGTGGGCCTAGCCCTGCTCAGCAAGGGGCTGCATAACTGGCCATTGCTGCCCACTCTGCCACCTTCCCACCCCATGTACCCTAATTTGGCCACTTACCTCACTCTCCTCAACAGGGGGTGGAGGGACCTCCTTGATGATCTGTAAATGAAAAGGAGAATTGGTTAGTGGGGTCTCTAGCCTCCTGCCTCCTAAGATGTCTGCCACAATCACCATAGGAACAGTCCCAAGCATGGGGACTGAAGTTTGTGCCAGGACCTGGCTGGACAGAGTAGCCCAATGAGAGCAGGAACTGGGATGAGGCTTCATCCCCAGTGTCATAGTCCTGTGTAAAGAAACATGTTCCACAGCTGTTTTGTCTCACAGGGGAGGGGGGACATTTAGTCCCATTCATCTGTTCCCTTGGTCACTCATGCCTGAAGCCACTGCTCCCTCCGCTGTCTACACATTAACATAGGATGGTGATACACGTGAGTTAATGGGTGCTGCAGAGACCAGCGAGGTTCAGACCAGGCTTATGTGGCTGGAGGTCCTCTATTACTGGCCCCAGTGGGTCCATGCAGAGAGAAGAAGGGGCCTGAGTAGCCCTTGAGTAGCCCCAGTGAGGAGGAGGGCCCAGGGGTCTCTCCCAGGTACAGACAATGCAGAGGCAAACATATTTCATTAACTATTTATAAGACTTCCTCAACTGCTCTGTCCGCTGTATGGAGAAAGACAAACAAAACAGACACAGTTCCATCAAGTCACTGGGAGTCCCTTCACCGACACAGTGGTTGACCTGATAACTGCACTCATAAAAGGACAGCCTGGCAGTTAACTAGACTTGAGTTCCTTTCTAGGGCCCTTTGGCGATGAACAACTATGATCCTGTACTTTCCCTGGGGACCTGCTACCCTCACCCAGGCTTACTGTTGGAATTTTAGAACCCAGCAAGGAACATTTTCTTTAGGTGAAGTCTAGCGAATACAAAGCTTGTCCTGTAACCTTTGCTGTCTCAGCACCAGGGCTGCTCATTTTGCAGGTGGGTGTTCAGGCGCCTTTCAGCCTTTAGCCCAGGAACTCCGCTAGGAGCACTGAGCATCCCTCACCTTCTACTGAGTGCATGACCCCTCTAATTTAACAATACCTAGTGCTCACTAGGGCTCTGGTGCCCATCTCTGTCTCCACCCTACCATAATCTGTAGTGTTATCCCCATTGATTAGACAGGTTACCAACAGCAGCCAGGGGCCTGAGGAGCCTCCAAGCATCTGAGGACAGCATTCACTAACTGCAGAGGCAGAGCTGAAGGCCTCCTGGGGTTTAGAACTACTGTTTCATCTGCTTCCACTTCCTTTTGCTGCGAGAAGCTGTGCTTTCCTCACCCACTCAACTCCCTTCTGAGACCTCTCAGGGGAACCTCTGGGGAAGACTGCTACTGCCTGGATGCTGACTTGCCATCATTCCAGAGACAGTGAATTATTTTAACACAGGAAATGGCTGGAAGCTGGAGGAAGGGATGAGGGGGTGGGGGCAACAGCTTGAATGGGAGAAGTGGGGGACGGCAGGATGTTTGCAAACCAGCAGATACAGTGGGTAAGACAAAGTCTCCAGCTCTGAAGAGGCTCAAGGTTGCTCCTTCACTGCATGGAAGCCTAGCACCCGTTGTCAAATGTAAATCCAAGACCTGCCTTGTCACACTCTGAGGCTTTGAGAAGCCTCTGGGTCTCCTGGAGCCCCATCAACTAAGCAGAGCAAAAACATAAACCTTGCAGGAGTTGTGCCATCCTGAGCAATTGCCATGTGCAGTGCTGTGAAGACAGCGCATGGATCAGAGCACCCTCCACCATCCGTGTCTTCCTTTACTGCATCAGGTGACTGTATGGCTGGCTCCACAACACATGTGAGATAGGGGCCTGTTGTCTGGACAGCAGCCATGGGATTCAGAGATGTCTGCAGCCTCATACAAGTTAGTACAGGACAGGGCTGGAGAAATGGCTGTGCTGGTGAGGTGCTTGCTGTGTACGCATGAGAACTGATGAGTTCAGTCCCATCTACCCCTGTAAAAGTCAGATGTGGCCTTTGGTGCCTGTAATCCCAGTACTAGGGAAGCAGAGATGAAACAGTCAACCCAGACTAATCCACAAGCCCAGGTTTGTCTAAAAAATAAAGTGGGAAACCACTGGGGAAGACACTCAACATCTAACTCTGGTTTCCACAGGCATACATGCACACACTTTGGCTACATATTCAGGTTGAAGCCAGCCTGCCCTACATGAGACTCCGTTAAACACACACACACACACACACACACACACACACACACACACACACCACTCAACACGTGACAATGGCTGGGACACAGCACAGGGAACCCACCACTCAGAGTGACTCTGATTTAATTTACTCCACACTTATTGAATATCTACTCCATAGCCTACAGAGGACCGGATATGAACAGAGCCCCAAAGATAATTCCATCATACATGATTCACTAATATTAGTTACAAGGAACTAGTTTGTAATGCAGATTCCACATGAATGCATGGTAAATTTGGCACCTCAGTTTCTGAAAATCAAGCCACCATGTTCGGCTAAACAGAAAGTGGTCCTCTAACCTGGCCTTGCCTGTTGTGTGGCTGGCAGAGACATTGAAGAGGTCCTTCAGTTGCTTTGAGCTGGTGAGCCCAGCCGGGCCTGGGCCATGACAGCCAGAGAGCGGCATCCCTATGCCAAGAGCAGCACGTGGGCCACACTGAGCACTGCTTGAGGGGAGAAATGCCCATTCTTCTGTATTCCCTGCAGTGGGGGCCTCTGTTCCCTGAGATGATGCTATTCACAGCTTCATGAAAACACAACCCTTGCTACGCCGCAATGAAATTTTATTCAGCTTTAGAGAAAAATGAAGCAATACAATTTGGAGAAAAGTAGCTGGATCTTGAAAGAATTATATTATATGAGGTGATCCAGACTCAGAAAGATAAGTAGCACATGTTCTGTCTTGGGGTGGCTTGTAGCTTTTCATGCCTTCATGTATGCATGAGCATACATGTACAAGAGAGGGTGAGTGTGGGTATTGGTAATGACACTAAAAGGGGTATGTTAGAGGGGACAGAGGTGTTGAGGAAGGAGGGACAATAGGATCATGTGATATCAAAGCAGAAAGCAGGTTACTGAGGGTGGAGGGCACAGGGAAGGATGGAGATGGGGGAGGAGAGAAGCAGGGAGGAGAATCAATGGAAACAAACTTGGTACTGTCAGAGAACCAAACCTGGGGTGCAGCCCATGTAGGCAAGTGCTCTACCAGTGACTTACACTCAAGCCAAGCTCGGCCACCTTGCGAGCACCCAAGGTGGTTGCTGGAGACACAGTGAAGGCAGGTCAGATAAGACATGTGGCATGACAAGCTTGGGCTGGTTTGACATCTGCAGTTTAGCCTTTGTGGCTGATGGTCAAGTTCAACTGCTGTGTCTCCGGAAAGCCCTCTCCACAACTGTAAAGTGAAGTGGCTCAATGGAGCTTGACTGTGGGTGTTCTCTTCCCCTCAAGTGCTCGTGTGAACTTCTTGAGGCTCTGCTGGTCTTGCTGACCCAGCTGCTGCAATCCTGTGCTTTGGGACTGACACATGTTCTCTGGCCATGTGTGAGCGCTGGAGCCACCTTTCCTGCCTGAGAGTGTCCCCACTCACAGGACAGTGCTTGTAAAGTGCGAGTCAGACCGCCACATACATGAAGGGCAGGCTATCACAGACTCTCCACTGCAAATTCCCATATGCATTTAAAGACTTATTTTATGTGTATGAATGTTTTGCCCACATGTATGTTAAGTGCACCACAGAAGTGCCTGGTGCCCTTGGAGGGCAGAGGAGGACTTTGGTTCCTTAGAACTGGGCTTCCAGAAGGTTGTGAGCCTTTCTGTGGGTTCTAGGAATGAACCCCTATCATCTGCAAGAACAGTCAGTACTCTTAACCACTGGGCCATTTCTCCAGACTCATGACTATATCCCACCCTTGCCTGTCTCTTTTCTCCATGACAGGAGTTGGCTGTCAGCTAAACTGCACAAATTCCCGGGAGGCAGAAGCTTATCTCATGGTACAAGACATGGAACTAACAGAGCTAATTTTCTGGTTCCTTTCTCTAGAGTCTGTTTACACCCTGGCATTGTTTGTGTATGAGCTGCCCTCCTAGTGCTCTGCCCACCTCCCCTGCTTTGTAAACCTGGTCTTTCACAGCTGAGCAATGCATTGTAGATACATGGGCCTCTCTGTGGCCTACCCAGGTCCAAGTGGACAGCAGAGGCTAACGAGTCTGTTACAATTAGGAACCTGTCCTAATTTTAAAGAGCTCGGCAGTTGCCAAATTTTCCAATATTACAATCATGTTGAGCCGGGCGTTGGTGACGCATGCCTTTAATCCCAGCACTTGGGAGGCAGAGGCAGAGGATCTCTGTGAGTTCAAGACTAGCCTAAAAAAAAAAAAAAAAAAAAAAAAAAAAAAAAAAAAAAGAATCATGTTGAGGTCTTGTTGCTATACAGAACTCCAGATGCACTGTCTCCGAAGCAGGCTGGGGCCAGACAGTTGCATTTCTAACAGGTTCCCAAATAACACTGACCCTGAGGGTCTGTGGACCACATTCTAACCAGTTTGTATCAATCTGCTCTAGGCAGGGGTGTGTTTTGTGTTAAGTCAGACATTCCCACAGCTGTGCTGTAGATTTTTATGGCTGAACAGAAACACCAGCACTAAGTCCTGTGTGACTCGGGTTTGTTATTTCAATACTTGGAAGACAAGGGAAGGGGATCTCAGGTTCGAGGCCAGCCTGCGCTACATAGTGACACCCTGTCTCAAAAACAGCTGTTACCGTTAACTTTCTGTTAGGGTAATATAACACTCGACTAAAAGCAACTTAGAGGAAAGGGTTGATTTGGCTTAAACTTTCAAACTCCAGTCCATCACTAAGGGAAGTCAGGGCAGGAATTCAAGCGGGAACTTGGAGCAGACTGTGGAGGAACTTTGCCTGCTGGCTACACTCCCATGTTTAGTGAGAATTCTTATACAATTCAGGATCACCTGTCCAAGGGATGGTGACCTCTACAGTGTGCTGGGCCCTCCCACATCAATTAACAATCAAGACATGCCCACAGGCCATCTGATCTGGGCAAGC